TATTGTTGTTGAAGATTAAAAATTATAAATAAAAAATCGTCCTCATAATTTTAATAACCAAATAATCACTTAACAATATAATATCATTCTGATGTATAAAGTGTATTCCTTGGTTAATTTTATATTGATTTGTTATTTGAAAAATCATTACTCAATGTCTTGTAGATGTTTTATGAAAGTTGTTGATTTTTGGATTAAAAAAACAAATAAAGAATCTAACCCGTCACACCGTGACACAAAAAATGGTTTAAAAACAAAATGAATAAACAATATAATTATGTATTTCATAACAACATCTGTCATATCGAAATCGTTTAGTAAATACTTGACATGTTGGTTGTATGACCACTGGCTATTTTAATTTTGGAATGATGTGGAAATACAATTACAATTCACATCAAAAAAATCAAACAATGAACTACTATTATAATATAAATATAATTAAAATATAAAAAAATAGAAATAGTTAATTTATGTGTATTTTTAATTAACATCAATAGCAAAAATTTATAATAAAACAACAATAAATTATAATTTATTTTTTAAATGTGAAACTATTTTTTAATAATTATTATCATATAATTAAACTAATCTATTAATTATGGATACATTTATTATAAATTATCATTGTTTTAAAAGGGTTAATACACCAGAACTCCAAACAACTCAATTCTTTCATTTCAACAAATTATTTAAATTTTAAATTGGTGTGATTAAATTATCGACCATTTGAAAACCCCACGCTCGTTAACCGTTTGTTATCATCAAATTGATTTATATTTTATAAATTTATTAATATGATATGTTTATAACGTGTTTTTGTATTTTGTTTATGTTTATTGTATTGCAATTTGTGTTGTTATTATAATTTCGAAGTTGAAACGTTTATTCGATCTTAATAATTCGAGTTGATATTTTTGTGTTTTTTTATATTATTATTATGTTATAACATATTGATCATAATGGTAATTTAAGTTTATTCAATTGGAGTTAATAATTTCAATATTTCAACAAAAATTAACAACAAGATGAACAAAAATCAAATTTCATATAATGGTGTCCAAAAAGTGGACTATTTATTCAAAATTTCAATGTTTTAATTTATTCGTTTTTTGTTATTATATTTTGATGTATTGTTTAGTAATTTATAAGTTATAAATTGTTAAAATCTATAAAATAAAAACCAATATCTAGTTTGAGTTGTTTGGAATGTTCTTTTTTACGAATTTACCCTTGTTTTAATTGATAGCCATATTATATAACAGTTTTACAAATTAAATTATTTTTTATGTTTTACAAGCAACAATAACATTATTTTTAAACAATAACAATTCGCAGTAATATTTCACGCCGCAGTGATTTTTCATGGTACTCTAGTGATAAAAAATAGCGGAATAACAATATAAATTAGACTATCGAAACAAACACCGTTGTCTATGTTCTTTCAAATATACAGATACAGGAAAAACCAGGGACCAAATCATAAACCAGGGACCAGACTAAATTAAGCCGTTTTATTTTTGGTATAAAGTTTCCTTGTCAAATAAAAATAAACAAATAATCGGGTTTTTGGAGGATATGTTGTTTTATTTTCAAAAACCAAGGACCAAGTATTAATAGACACACTGTTTTTTAAAATAAAATAGAAAAAACTATAAAATATGAAACTCATAATTAACCATTTAAAGTTGTCTCATTTGTTAATGCCGAGCCAAAGAAAAGTTTGTTCTTTATATTGATTTATCTCTTATTGTTGAATACGTTTAATAATTATCAATCAATTACTGAATGTCTAACATTCCAATAATTTATTTATTCTTTACTTTATTTTCATTTATTGCGTGAGTCACTTTTAATGCTGAACGAAAAGTGACTCATCGAATCAACCGAGTGAATAGAGAAGACTAAAATGATATTTTTGAAAACTTGAATAAATGGGTTAATTGAATGGTTGTGTTGAAATTAAACATGGTTGAACAAAAGAATAATATTTTATAATTAAATAATAATTAATAATAATAAACTTACTATTATAACTCACGTTAAGATGTTGTTCATTCATACTTTATACAACACATTCATTTTTTTTATCCCGAAAAATAACCGTTTTTAATACCAAATAATAAGAAAATTACACATTTATTTATATATTTGCCCGTTTTATTGTATAAAAACCGCTTAATATTCAATAGCTAAAATTAGTCTGGTCCCTGGTTTTTCCTGTGGTCCCTGTTAATTCCGCTATCTGTATATCTTTTTACAATAAAATAATTGTGAATATCGTTTCTTAAACAACGCGTCGAAAGTAAAGAACTATTACTCCAACTATCATCTTCGGGACAACATCGTTTTCGTTGTTGTTTGAAAACAGTAAAACCTTGGTACTTTTACAAAGTCGTTATTTACTATTGATAAAATGGTATAATTACATTAATATCATAATTAATTTATAAAATCAAATGAAAATATTATCATAATAATACATTCAAAGTAAATGGTTTAATATTAATAAAAAATAGTAAGGCTAAGGTTTAGTTAGCCTAAAAATAGATTTAGCAAAAACGGTATTATGGTGAAATAAATTAACAGAAAAAAATATACAAAAAATAAAACCTGTTAACAATTTTATCTAATATAAGATGGTTTTAAAAATATTTTACTTTTGTAATAAAGTTAGTATTATTTTATGAATATTTAAACTGCTATTTGGTAATATATCCCACAATGTAAACAACAGTTAAATTCCAAACAAACAGTCAGTTATCATTGAATGAGTAAGCGATTTCAATGTTTTTCCAATTTGTTTTAATGTTTAACGTTTTACAATAATATAAACATGATCTATCCAAAGTTGCATCTTCTTCTATTCCCAACGATTTCAGACTTGAACAAAACATGAAACAACCAACTGGCACCTTTTTTATTTTACCAACAAATTTTTTAAGTTTCCCACAGTTTTTAAAACACCCTTTTCCAACAGACAACTTTCCGTTATTATTGAATTTAACAAGATTTATACAATTCATGAAGGCTTCGTCACCAGCGGTATCCGTTTCTGTAAAAACTTCTTCCAAATCTTCACAATCGTAAAAACATTTGTTACCGAAACGCTTCGCCTTACATACCAGTTTAACCAACCCACATCCCTCAAAACACGAAGTTGGAATATAAGAGACACTGTCAGGTATTGTTATTGCTGTGAGTGATACACATCCTTTAAAACATCCAATTCCAACGGTTTCCAACGTGGTTGGAAGATTTACTGATTTCAACATTTTCATATTAAAAAATCTGAAGTCACACAGTTTATCAATACACAATGGTAAGTGAAGAGTTTCGATATTATTTAATCCATTAAACCAGTGTTTAGCCATCTGTATTCCATCAGAAACGTATAATGTTTTTAAATTACTACACTTGTTAAATACACGACTTCCTATGGAAATTACTGTGTTGGGAATAGTCATTTCTGTTAACCCGGTGCACCCAAAGAAACAGTCGTCTCCAATGTGTGTCACAGACGATGGAATGTCAAACGAAGTCAACCACTTACAATTTTTGAAGTGGCATTTTGATAATTCGATTGGTGAAGAATTTTCAATTATAAACGAAAAATCGAGTTTTAGAGATTCGCACCCGGCAAAGCAGTCTTCACCCAATACCATAATTTTGTTTTGTGTCTCGACGGTTTTTAAATTTTTGCAATTTTTAAAACACATTTTTTCAAGTTTTGTGATTTTACTTGGAAGTTGGATGTATGACAAACTTGAACACCCACAAAAGAGTTTGTTTCCAAGACATTTGACATTGCTTGGAATATTAATAGTTTTCAGACTTTTACAATTGTAAAATGCTCTTTTTCCGAGTGTTTGAATAGTCGGTGGAAGAACAATTTCCTCAATGTTTTCACTGTTTGTAAAACATTCATTGGGGATCTTTAAAAGTGGCGCTTTGATCACAACACATCTGCCTTGTTTCCAATTTTTAAATGCACCGTGTTGGATATTTTTAATTTGAGTTGTCACACAATACCAAGAGTTACACTCGTGTTCTGTATTTGCACTAAGAAACATCGTTCCAAGCTCTGTGGCTTGATATGTCGGGTCATTTCGACAATCAAAATTTCGATATAACCGCGTCAGAACAACACCGTCATTTGGTACATCAGTAAGCGCACGATATTCATCACACTCGATACACATATACCGCCAGTCGTAATTATAGACAGCCACTTTGTGATTGTATCGGATGTTGGTACAATACATACAATATGAATGTTTGTCGATATCAAATTTGTCAAGGAAACAGAGAGAAGATGAAGTTATATGACATCCATGACTTGTTGCAATAGAAAGAGAAGTTGTAGTCGTTGGTATTTTAATGTCACAATCATTACATGAAATTAATGCGAGTTTTTTAATGTGTAAATTAGATAGATCGATTGCAATTTTCATATTGTTATAATTGTCTTCTTCACTCTCGTGTGAACTTTCTCTAATATTTTGATTTTTAAGTGTTTTATTTTCTTTATCATCTTGATCATCATTATTCTGCGAAATTGAATTGTCATTTGACTCAGAAATATCTAGTGGTTCTGTTACTGTTATTATTAGCTCATCTAACATCTCAAAAATACCAAAATTGAAATCAAAGACCCCTCTAACCATAACTGCTTTTACTGTTGTGTAATTTTTCAAACAAATTTTATCAATGTCGACTGTGGTTTTACCTGTAACGTTCACTATAACAGATAATAGTGTATACTCAACATTTCCACTCTTTTGCTTCTTTTCAACATTTTTAAAACACACTTCTATTGTTGTTTGGGTGGTTGAGTATAAATTAATTACTCGTTGTGTTGTCGTCACCTTTTTAACACTTGCTGCGACATCAACACACTCATTCGTATTAACAGTGATGTCTATAATTGGGTATCCATGTAGATCTATGACATCTTTGTCTATGTTATGTATATCCACTTCTGAATCTACTCTTTGAATACAGTTAAATTGAATTGTATTCATAG